TATTTGTAGCATTGTGTGGTCTTTTGTTTATTTTCTGTGTTTGAGTTTATGCTTTTCGCGCTTTCTAAAATGCTCTAAGATTTTTAAAATGACAAGTACTCTTGATAAGCTGTCTGTTAGAACCTTTTCTGTGAAGAACCTTGTAGAATTTTGTAGAGAGCAGGGTGCCTTGTGCAAAATTGGTGTAACAACCCTCTAATTTATTCATTTTACAACGTGTAGTCAGAATAATGATTTTGTCATACAGTGACTGTTTTCTGCCATGTCTGTGGGTGCTGGTTACAGGGTAATTTCTATAGGTCCCTACTGTTTTCATGCAATGATTTGACAGCTGTAGAAATGACAATGTCAGAGCCCTTAAATAAAGTGGGACCTTCTTACACAAACATGCATAAAGATATATTTAATCCTTCAAGCATCCTCTGTATTTATATGGCTGTAAACACTTCCAAACTCTTCTCTTTACAACAAAAGTACATTTTTCTCTGAGGATTTGCCTTTTTTCTCTCATATATCCTGTGGTTTGCTGTTATCTCAGATGATATATAAGAAATGTTCTTCTAGGGTAGGTCCAGCATAGCCCCTTGTGCAGCCATGCCCAACTGTTGTGGAAGCCAAGGGTGGGTGGTACAAGTGCTCTCTTTGGGCCTTATGTTTCAATGTAGTAGGCTTGTCTTTTTCTACTGTGGCTTTTTTTTAGCTCACATTGCTCTTGAGAGTTTGCCCAGGGTCTGGCAGAGTCACTAGATCACCCTGAATGAAATGCATGCACAAATACATAGTAAGGCACAGAGCCTCAGCAGAAGTTGTGCTTGAGTGAAACATTTCTGCTGCTTTCTTTCTTTTTGGCACTTGTTAAGCTGTTAATGTAAACCAGCAAAGAGCTGTGGCACCGGGAATTGTCACTGATGTGTGAACTGAGCGTGATGGGCAGAATTGATTCCATATGTAACTGTGCTAGCTACAAGATTAGTTCTTGCAAAGTTAGAATTTCACACTAACTTCTGTGCTATGCTTTGGCCTTTTCTGTTTTGGAGCTGCTGTAATAGCAAGAGAGCCCCTGACCAAGTCTTCACTACTGACTGTAAGATGTCACTGCCTTGAAGAGCATCCTGTAGATAAGGCAGACAAAGGAAGAGATGTCAGCTCTGCAATGGAGAGCCTGAGGTACAGGTGGATTTTGAGGGAATGCCTGAATAGCAGAGTGGAGGAATGGGTGCAACATGCTGGTTTGAATCTAGGTAATGGATGAGGAGGACCAGGCAGCACCAGATGTAGGATGCAGAGTGTTAACATTGGGATATTCAGGAGGTTCTGCATGCTGATTGCTAGTGCACCAAAACCAGTGTCCTTGATGCTGTTAGGTAGCTAAGGTAACCAGCCCATGCTACAGTCATCCCTCTGGGTTTATTTCCATGCAGACAGTCTTGCTCTTTGTTTGAAAAGGGGTCGCAACAAACCCTCTGCATGGTAACAGCACACCACATCTTTCTGGAGGTATCTGGGTCTGTATGGAGCTACTGCTGCTCTGCTTAGGAGGTTTTTTGCAAGCCAGGAGATTAATTTATTCTGACCTCCTGAGCCAGAACTGGGTAATCTAACAGCTGGGCAGAAAGTCCAGCAAGCCAAAAGGGAGCAGAGTGTTTCAAATGGAGCATAAAACCGAACATCAGGCAACAGACAGAGATGATCCTGTGTTGCGGTTCCCTGAACGAGGGATTTCACTGAACCTGGTGGATAGTCAAAAGGCAGCCTTAAGAGGCTGGGATTTCTGTAAGAGAAACTATTATTCACTTCCAGCTGCATGCTTTTTCAGTGTTTGCTTCTCCTGTCATCAAAGTATTTGCTATCAAGAGAGGATCTTAACTCAGTTCAGCTTTTCTCTTGAAACCATATTTAAAGGGAGATTGAAAGTGGCTTTATAAGAAGAGGTTGTTCAGGGTCATGTTCTCAGTGTTTCTGAGATGTCTTACGTTTTTCTGCTGACTTTGCCATGCAAGCAGCAGCAGAAAATAATGAAAGTGCATGTTGTTGGCACAAGCACATTGGAAAGAGGGGGGCAGATGTTCTGAGGAAGATTTGACTATTTTTTGCTTCTGGACAGAAAATGTCTTGACTTCATGTCCCTGAAAAACCTTGTGCAAAGTCAATATTTTCATTTCTTCTTTTTTTTTTTTTTCCCTTTCTTTCTGTAAACTTCTAAAGCTGACACCTCCCCCCCCCAAATTTTTTTTTTTTTTTTTTTTTTTTTTTGGTGAGGAGTGTGAGGGTGCAGAAAATGTTCCAATCTCTTAGTGACCAGCATCTGCAAACGTTCAGCTGAGTGCCAGGGTACTTTGGCCAAAATGTATTTGGGTTCTGGATTTTCAGGTAACTGAGGGTTGTTTTTATGTACTTTGAGAACATACGTATTTCAGAGCATTATCCACAAATGACTTGAGAGCCCCATTCCTGAATTACCATTTCAGTGGAAACATTTGCCAAAAGCTTTCTTCTAAAATTATTTTTAATTTGTTTTGTTCATGGTGGCAGACCAGGTTGCTGAGCTGTGGCATCACATGCCTGCCAGTCCTCTCCAGACCAGGAGTTCATGCTGGCTGGGTCTGGGCTGTCAAATATGGACCAGCCATGGGAGCAGCAGGACTTTCACCTCAGTGATGGTGCCCAGGTTTTCATGGGTGCCTGGACACTTGTGCAGCATCGTCTAACCCCTGCTATAGCACGCTGAGAGGTTTTAAATACAGATCTCTGCAGACAGATGGTACAAAGATTTTGCTGGCTAGATAACTCTGAGAAACAAAGGCCTGGACATATCTGTGCTTTTAAATTCACAAGGCCAGGACAGAAGAACTGGCTGGCTATTGATGAAGTTGCTTAACCATTAGCATATTCCCTGGAAAACCCATACCATGACTGCCATCCTATAAGTACCCAGGTGCAGACTGGGGTAGCATGGGCTAGGGACCTGTTGCATGAGTTGGGATGGATGATACCCCCTCTGTTTTGAGGAGAATTTGGCTGTATGCATCATACCAGCTGCTTTAGGGCTGGAAAATGGGCCATGTCCTGCTTATTAGGACACCCTAAAGTTTGCCTTAAGTCAAGATACGGGACTCATCCTCAGAGGATCAGTATGGAGAGGATGGAGATTTGGACCATGTGCTCACACCTCCCCTCAACAGTCACAGAGTGAGAAGTCTCCTGCAGTTTTATCTCCTTTTTGTGTGCTGCTGCATCCTGAGCCCTGTGTTTCTGCCAGGGCTCAGAGGAACAGCACATCTTGACATGATGTCCCTCCCTTGGCTCTGGCGACGTCATCCCAGGGCTGGGCTCTCTGTGGCTGCAGCTGTGAGCATAGGCAGCTGCCAGCAAACCCTCCCCAGCACTGGCTTTTAAGGGGCTTCTCCTCTCCATCAGGAGCCCTACTTGATGCCAATCAGTGATGAAGTTTAGGGAAGGACCTGCAAGGGCAGGGAAGGGGTGAAGTGAGGCAACATGGAGATGGAGGGAAGCCAAGCCTGGCACAGGGGAGCTGGCTGTACATGCAGCACCACAAACTTGCACATACTGCATGAAAGACACTTCTTAAATAAAAATAACAGAAGAGAACATGAAAGACCCCAGTACATGCCAGCAGTGACTGTAAGTCTCTGTGCTGGCCTGGTTCACCCTGCTCAGGACATGCTGTGCTCTAGTCTCAAATATATGGCTTTACATTACTGCCTGTAACATGGAGCAGGAATCCTTTCCCAAAGCACCTTGCTCCAAAGGGCAAGCCAGGTCAGATGCTCAACGGGTGCCAATTTGCAGTTCTCCAAGTTCAGGGATCCTCAACAGAGCTACTGAGATCAGAGTCATAGAATATTTAGGGCTGGAAAGGACCTTAGATGCAGCCAGCATTTGGCTTCTATAGAAGTCCTTCACAGTCTGCCCTATCTGCACTGGGTCTGGGGACTGGAGCTGACATGTAATCCTCTAAACCCCAGGAGGACAGTCCCTTAGGGGTCTCCTCTCTCTGCCTGCTGCTGCTGCTGTTTCTTGAGTATTGGATCAAGTGTGAGGAACATCCATGATGTGCCAAACATCTGGGCTTGTATGTCAGTTTCTTCCTCTGCTTCTGGGTGGGTAAAGCAGCATTATCTAATATATCCAATATGCCTTGTTTTGCCCTCACTATGCATTAAGCCTCTCATTGAGTACCACAGTTGTTGTCTCTCCCTGATCCCTATTTTCCATTCCCCTCCACCAGCAGCACTGAGATTGCCTGAGGTTTTGCTGACATGGTAGGGCCGAAGAAAGGAATCAACATGGGCCTATGGGGCTCTGCTCCCACTACCTCCCTGTGTTCCTCCAGGGCAGATGGACATAAATGGATGTGAAGCAGCAGCAACCAGTTGTCCTGGAGGTCTGAGCTACATAAATTACTTGGAGCAGCTCTTCTACCCAAACAGTCTGAAAGGGATCTGGTTCAATCCAGCAGTTTCAAAGCGTGCAAAAGACTTAAGCATTTTGCTTAACTTCCTTGCCTGCTGGGAAATGGCTAGTGTCTTATCCCCTCTTACAGTTTTTGGCAGGAAATGTGACTCTGGAAGGTCAAACACAACTGACCTGATGGCTGGGAGTAGTTGTTACAGGCAAAGGCTTACTGTGAGATCATGCAAAGTCTCCACACTTGTGATAAAGCACATTTAACTCCCTGGGTTCAAAATCAAACAGGGCATGTACAGTCCTTTGTAAAATCTGAGTCAAAGACTTTCTGGGCAATGGGTGGGTTGTTGCAGTGAGAGACCTCAGCAGTGCTGAGCAGACCCACACCTCATCCTAGCAGTAACAGAAATGCTCAACAGGGCTAAGATACAGCAGTTTTAACACACCAGATCCTCTAGCAGCTTTTTGGAGCAAGAGCTACCCAAATGTCCTTAAGCTGCATTCTGGATTGACATCTGCTAAGCAAATACGGGGATAATAATGCAGTGGTTATGTCCAGAGTGCCCGAACTGTTAAATGGTTAAACATTTGTTTATTTATCTTCAAAGAGAGGATGCCGTACTTCCCAACTGGTTTTGTTTTCAGGGCTGGTGGAAAGCCAGTTCATTATGAGTGCTGCAGCACTCGAGAGATTCTCCCCCCTTGATCTTGGCATTACTTCAGTTGGACGTTTTTTGCTGTGTTCTTATCCTGCAGGAAATCTGTGAAGGAGAAAATAGGAAGAAGAAAAAAAGTAACTCAGTGCCATATGATTTTTATTTTTACAGTATGGGCACGGAGTCTGGAGGAAGGCATACTATGGGACAGAGATATCAATGTATTTGGTATAAATCCAGCAAACCTGATTTAGTGATCTTTAACGCGGTTGTGGCACTCTTCACATTAGAATCTTCTGAGGCATATCAGCTTAAATGAAAGGTGGGAACTTGGATTCCTAGTGTTGATCACACTGATGCACTTATGCCAGAGATTGATCTGGCACAGCAACTGTGATGTAGAATAGCAGCAGAAGAGGCAGAAGCATTGTGTTGGTTGATCAGCGTTGACTTTTCACAATAGAATAGGCCCCTTCCTGGTACCTTTCTCTTGCAATATTGTACTTAGCCTGGGCATTTTGCTACCAAATGGTAGCAGTGAACCCAAGAATTGGCAAGAGTACCATAAAAATGGAATCAAAGTGTAAAGAAACCCATCTCCATGTGCTTTCTAACTCTTCAAGGATGTGTGCTCTTCAAAAGTCTTCTTAAAAACAAGTTGTTGTGTTGTGTGAAGGCTCACATTGCTCAATGAGACCGGTTAAAGTTCCAGCACAGATGAGCATGGACCTCTGTCAGCAATTTCTTGCCATGAAGCAATGACAGCCCAGGGATGGAGGGGTGGGACTGCAGAAAGACAAGTGGAGCCAAGCCTGTGTGAGGGCAATGCTTGCTAAAGCCTGAACACGCACAAGGAATCAGGGAGGATTTGAGGGAATAAGAAGAGGGGTGTTTAAGTACAAATCATTTTCCATATAAGAAGTGTTTAAGTGATGTTGCACTAAGTTCATCCAAGCTGTTTCTCAGATTGCTGAACAAGAAGGCAGTGATGTGATTCAGAGGAAGGAAATGCCTGGAGGTCAAAGAGGAGAGGCCAGTTTAGAGTTTGTGTTCTGCTTTTATATTGACTGATTGTAGCAAAACAGAACTCTGGAGTCCTTTTCTTTCTAGCATTGATAAAGCACCGGGGTACAGTGCAGAGCTCTTAGAATCCAGGGCGTGTTGAAGGTCAAGTTTGCTAGATATTGTGTGGCCCCACAGTAACAGACTATCCCTGTTGCAAAAGCTTTGTAGATGTACATAAACAGTATTGTGCTTCTAGCTCCTCTGTTCCCTTCGACACAAATTCAAACCCAGCAGCATCTCCAGGAGGTCTGTGATTACTGGAACAGGGTCTCTTGAAGGACTTGGATGTGGCAAGTCCTTGACCCCTGCCTTTCCTGTTTCCTAGGCTCCCTGCACACTGGCAGGAGCTCTCCGCCCCCAGGGAGCGTTCCTGAAGAGCAGCAGCAGATCGCTCGCCAGGGATCCTATACCAGCATCAACAGTGAGGGCGAGTTCATCCCTGAGACCATGGATCAGAATGTAAGTGGGGCTGGGGGCTGTGGGTTAAACCAGGACAGCAGCAGACACAAGGGAGGCTGCGCTGTGAGTGCCATTCCCATCATTAAAGACCCGGTTTGTGGGGCTCAGGCCAGCTTTTTCCAGGAATGGGTGCCCTCAGGCTTGATATGCTCAATAAACAGCAGGCCCAATTTCCAGGAACCCTAAAAGCCAGCTGCAGTGGTCAGGACAGTGTGCTCAGACGCTTCAGGTAGCTCTGGAGGAGCATAGATAAGGGACATACATGCACAGCAGCTGCCAGGTCCTTGTGGCCACAGCTTCCCTGGATTATGGGGACCACGAAGGAGTGTGCCAAGACACGGATTGCCTGTGACTGCAACAGCCTGGGGATGTGAGCAGCGCTTGCTGCTTCCCTGTGTGTTGTTTCTGCCTGAGCTCCAGTTACAGTCTTGGCTCTGCCTACAGCCTCTGTGGTTTTGTTTCTGTCCCTCCCCCATATGTTTTTTTAACTCTCTCCTAATGAGGAGTTTGTGTATTCTAATCCCTCAGTAATAAAACGGCAACTAGTTCTCCAGCGCAGTGATGAGCAGTACCTCTTTCTCCAGTCAATTTGGTACCCATGATGGAGGAAACTACAGTGTTAATGGACTGGAGGGGGAGCAGCTTGTGCCTTCCTCTCAATTTACATCTCTCTGCTCAAGCTATAGGTCTGAAGAGCTTCGTATAGGTCCTGTGAAGTCAGCTAGGCTGGCTGCATGCACAGTTCATTCTTGCAAAGCTCTTGGAAAGGCAGGACCAGGATCCACAATTTGCAGGAGGGACATGGAGGGACATCTGGAAGGCACTAAGCTCACTTCAGCAGGCTGCTGTGACTGCCCCCAAGGATCTTGCCTTGGGAGAAATGCATTCCCTACACTCAAATAGCACCCACTAGCTCAGCTTTTGTGTGCAGGCTGTGCCAGTGTTTCCATGGCAAAGTTGTGTTTTCAACAGTTTATTGTACAGCCATTAATAAAATAAGTTACTCCGGTTAAGTCTTGGCAGCATCAGAGTGCAGATGTATTTTGTGCTCCTTGTAGCCAAAAGTTGGCTTTCTATTGTTTTCGCATGCCTTCCAAACATGTTTGGTAGGATTAAGACAAACTGCATGTGCATGAAGGGGGAGAGTCCCCATGAACCCCCTGGGGGGTAAATCACCGCAGCTCCACTGGCTATTAATGCAGCCTTGTTAGCACTAGCTGAGCTCTCAGCCTGTTCCTGGTGAAGGTTCCCAGGTGTTCTACTTGCCTTCCTCTAGCATCATGCTGTGGGTGGCCTGCTGCCCTTTATGCTGAACTAAATTCAGGGAGAAGGGGATTTGGGGATTGTTTTGGGGGGGATTTCTTGGTGGTTCCTTCCTCCTCTTCTCATTGAACAGCGATGCTTTTCACCATATGGGCTCTGCTCTCAGAGTGTCCTTGTGCTGCAGCTTCCAGATGTGCCTCAGAGAGGCACTTACAAGCCTCACTTACAAGCTGGTGCTTGCTGCCTTTTGGGGGATGCCCCTGTGCAAGCCTGTGATGTAACTGCAGTCTTTGCCTTGAGACCAGCTTGGCACATGAACAGAGCCTGAGTGTGGAGGCTGCCTGGATTCCCAATTTTATGCTTTTGAGAAATGAGTGCTTCAGCATTATTATTTTAACTGCTAGGAGAGACCTGGCATGGCTGGCAGAGGTGGAGACTGGGTTCTTGACGAGATTTTGTTCCTCTCTGGCTAGCGCATTTTGAAGGGTGAGGCTTTGGGGTAAAAACTGGAAAGTGGAGCAAAAATCACACTTTCCAGTTGGGACTGGCCTGCCACAACAATGCAAGCTGTTATGGCAACCCGTTGAGGAGGTCTAACACAGGAACAGCACATGGAGAGGGAAGGCTGTTGCTGTACAAAGAAAAGGAGGAGCGATGCAGGTCCAGGAGCCAGTGAAGGGTGACTCCATGTGGTATTCAACCCTCGTTGCTCAGCTTTCCCTGGAGTGAGCTGGGCTTAGGGCTGCCTGTGGAGTAAGGGTTAGCGAGCGTTTGCTGTGGGTCTGCAGCCAGGAGGAAGCGCTGTACAGACTGTGGCACAGCATGGGCCTGAGCAAGCTCTGCTGTGCGTGGAAGTGCACATAGCCCCTAGGTTTACCACTCAATACAAAACCTCTATTGTTACTAACCAGCTATAAATAACCCCGTCTAGTACAATGTCTCATCCAGGAAGCAACGCAAATGCAGCTTTTGACTCACTGAGCTAGTGAGAGCCAAGCCAGTTCCTCCAGCCAAAAGCCCTGATGATGCTTTGCTTATCACCAGGGAGGACGGCTGGTCTTGTGTGCCAGGGCAGCAATCCTGGCTATGGTGCACAATGTCTATCTGGCCTTGGGCGCATCATTTGTGTCCTGACATATATATATTACTATTTTTCCCACAAATACTTTGAGCACTTTGTATCTCATTCATTTCTCAGCATGCATTGCTCATCAGGGTGTTATTTTTGCCTCAGTTTCCCTGCTAGCAAAAAGCAGTTGTAAGGAACAATAATCCAGAGAGGGCATCGTAAATAGATTTTCCTTGGGAAGAAAATTTTTGTTAGATTGAATCTCATCTCTGCTGGGGTTGGTATCAGCTGATGTAAATCAGCCAGCTTCACTGGAGCTTGTTGACCTTGCAGAGGTCTGCTAGTACTGGAATTTGAAGAGCTACAGTGCATGGCTTTATTGTTTCCCATTTTGTTTCACTATTAGATGCTTGAAGCTTTCATCAGCCCTGATGATTCACTGTCTGGGAGCTGCCAATCGCTGGACAGGTCTGTGGACAGGTGAGTCCTGCGTGTCACCATGTTCACAAGCTTAAATGCAGCCTCTGTGTTACAGCAGGAGTAGAGCAGGGTCAGTGGCATCCCCTGAGGTTCTTCTTGGGATGAGGATGCACTTGAGCAGAACAAAGCTATCTTGAATGCTGAAAACCAGACCCCAGAGTGGACATCTCTGTGATGGTGTGATTTGAATTGTAGTAGCTGGACAGAGTAGCTGGGGATCTGCAGACAGCCTGGCTTTGTGTGCCCAGGTTTTCTGCTTCAGTCAGATCCCTCTCCTACCCGTCTGTCTTTCTGCAGTCACCAGGTCAATACTCCGTGTATTAGCTTCTCTCTCCCTCCTCCTCCCTGGGCATGCTGTCTGTTTTCCATTGACCAATTGTAAGTTTGGCAGGCCCTGTGCACTGCCAGCAGCCACAGATGTGTCAGTCAAGGTGCTGAGGACACCAGACGAGCAACAACTAAGTTTAGCTTCTCAGCAGGAAGCAACTAGGACACTTTGTACTAGCACAGGCTGCAGTTCAATAGTTGGTGAGGCTGGTTGGTCCGAGCTCACACGTGCAAAGCAACTGTATGGTTGCTGCTGTGCATGGTACGCTGTGTATAAGACACAGTGTCCTTTTGGGAAGTAATATATATTTTTTTTTTTTCCATCTGCATCAAAGATCCTCTCTCCCCCCCTTTGCTTTTGCTATACAGCATCAAGGCTGTGTTCCAGCAGGTCTGCATTGCATTGATTTGATTGTGTATACTCCTTTGGGTTTGCAGGTCTGAGTGTTTTGGATCTGTCTCAGCATCAAGGTCCATTTAGTTTTTGTGGCTTTTAATAATTTCCTGTGAAGTATTTGCTCGTTGTTACAGCTGTATCCACAAGCTGGATTCCTTGTGCTCCCAACTTCTAAGCCCCAGCTTTGCTTTTACACAGACTTTACTAGGAAGAACAACAGAGCTTGGCCCGATTGTAACACTTTATTGTAAAGGGAGAGCAGAGTGTTAGGTGTTTTCAGGAGGGTAGTATGGCTTGATTTTACATATAAATAAGCAGGAAACTGTGTTCAGTCATAGGGTGTAGGAGTTGGAAAATGCATGAGGAAGGCTTTATCATTCAAAGGCAGAAAGAGGAGTAAGTATGACTATTCCTGCAAAGATAAAACTGCGCCTTTGCAGCAAATTGCTTGAGATGGCATTAGCCTTGTCAAGAGAGCAGTTAGCCATCGGGCATGGTGACCTGTCTGATGCTAATAAATAACATGACAAATCCCTCTTTTCCACAGCAAGCCTGCTGTGATCAGCTTTGACATGAGTACATGTCAGAGCACTTTTCAAAGCAGATTGGTGCTGCTATGTCCATTTTATTCAAAGGGATAGTGGAAAAGCAACCTACCCAGATTACCCTGTTGTTCCTTAGAGAGGCTGGGGTGAAATCAGGATTGTTGAGATCCTTGTAGTGCTTTGGCATCTTCTCAATGTAGTTTAAAGAGCTTGAGCATCAAAGCACCCGTCCTGCACTCTTCTTCCTGAAAGTGTGCGCAGTGGTGATATGGACCCTTCTGCATGAGGAAGGTGGGGGATGATGTTGCAGAGAAGGGGAGACCTGCATAAATTGTGGGTGATTGAAGGACTCCAATGTGTGCATCTAAAGCAACTAAGCAATGTTCAAAGAAAGCAGAGTTGTACAGTTGAATATTTGATGTTGAGGGAAGAGAAATCTGCAGCCTTCCTTCTGTACCATCTTATGCATAGGTGTTACAGTTTTTGGCTGCTTCATTTCAGCCTGGTGACTGTTTTTTTTTTTTTCAGCATCCCTTTTGTTTGCCACAGGAACAATCTGTGATCTAGAAAAAAAAAACAGTCTTTATTCTTGTGCAGCTTGAGGATGAGAGCTCACTTGGGTAGACTGGGCTGATCAGTGATCAGTCCATCTTGTGGTATAGTCCTTTCTGTGTGTAACCACTTCGTAATTTATTCTTCTGATATAATAAAGTGCCTTTCTGATATAAAAAGCAGCCTTTCTGATATAATTAAGTGTATCCTTTGTTTTGTTTATCCCTTTGCAGCCCTCCCTTCACCCAAACCCCTGTTCCTGGAAGGAAGACCCATCCCAAAGACAGTCTTGATTGCATGGGTAAGCACTCTTGGAGGCTTGTATTTGCTTAAAAGTATAAAAAGCTGAAAGCATAAAAAGTAGAAAAGAGCCTGGATAAAGGCCATTAAAGAGATGGCATGAAAAGTAATAAAAAAAAAAATCAGCAAAATAGCTCCATAGCTTAGGTTATGTATCAAAAATGACCTCTGAAATGATCAAACATGAATGTCCTCTAAAATCGAAAGACTCAGAGCACCAAACACAGGCAGGGTTCCTCTTTAACAATCATTAACCCTTAACCCTTCTCAGCTGTGCAGCAGTGGTAGTGGTAGCACTGAAGAACCTTTTAGCCTGGTTCAGGAATTGGTTTCCAGCAATAACAGTGCAAACTGGATAGCAAGGGCCCTGAGGTAAACAGATGCAAGCAAGTTAAAACATCAGAGATCTGTGTTGGAAGAAGTTGCTGAGGGGGCCTTGCTCTTGTGTTTGGAGACAGCTGCGAGGTGCTGACAGCTGGAAACAGCCTTGTGGGATCACCTTTTGTCTGTTATTAGTACACGTGAGTTGCATTTGCAGGGTCCTGACTTCCTACATAGCAAAACCTGAGTCCCGTACTCTGTAGGGAGTTATACTTTTCCACTTACATTAGTAATTGTAATCATGCAAATGCTGTTAGAGAAAAGTGTATTGGTAAGTTGCAAGGTTACTGCTTAATCACTTATAAACATCCAGCTGGTTAAGTCATGGAAACTCTGTAATACTGCAATGACTTTCACCATTAAAAATGAGAAAATGGCAGTCAGCCTGTGGCATGATAACTCATTCCTGGCCTAAGGCAGGCTTTCTAGATTGAACTGTAGAGATGAAGCTGCTGTCAGTCCACAATGCTTTAGGTTTTAATACATCCCCAGTGGTAGGGGAGGCATTTTGCTTTGAGACACCACTCCATCGTTGCTCACATATGGCTCGCTCAGAACCTCTTGCCCTGTCCTTGTTGCTTTTCTTGCTGACCATATTTCAGCCGTTATGCACTCTTGTTGAGCACTGCTGTAATGGGGAAATCACGTTGAAGTGCAGCGGAGGCCAGGAGCAGTCTCCAAGGAGTGGCTGCTGGCCCTAGGCTAAGACAAACAAACAATCAGAACAGACTGTGTCATTAGAGTTAGATGGAGGAAAAACAGCAGGTGAAAGATGGAGGAGAAATGGCAGATATTTTAAACTCAAGTTATTCAGTGCTACCAGCAATGGCTTCCTGTGCTGTTTTTTCTTTTTTAGTTCAAAAAATACGTCGTTGTCTTGCATGTCCATCCATGTCTCTCGTAATCTTGTATCCAATATAAACTCTGATGGTCTTTAATCACTTCTGTCTTTTTAGCATTTAAGCAAAGTTAAATATAAAGGTTTGGAGCTCAGGAGGTATAAATTGGTCTCTGGCTTTTAGAGATCAGGAGCTGCATCTGAGAAGAAAGAGGGCAGAGATTATTCAGCATTAGCCAAGTGCTGTATTTTTGCATTTCCCTGGAAAAAGCTGGTATCAAAGCAAAGGTTTTGGAGTAAATGGATCTGGACCTGACTCTGCAGGTCTGTCTCCACACTAATTTCTGCATTTTCCATGTGCAAAGAAGAAGTCTTGTAAACCAGGCTTGGTCTATGTTAATTCCCTGCCTTGTATTTGAACAGTGTGTGCCAGGGTCCATAAAGTGAGCAGTTAAACCTCTTTGCTGTAGGGAGGACCAAGACCACTGTGTCTAACCCTTATTTTCCACTAAGGAGTGTGTGACTGTGGACAAATTTCAGAGGGAGCCTTGGGGAATGTGTGGTCATGTGAATAAACAGCTTGTCACCTCATTCTTACCTTCCTGTAAGAAATGTTCTGGCCATTTGATTCTGACCTGAACTCAGAAACATGTGTCTTCT